CTTCAAAATATTTCTCATAACCAAATGAAGAGTTTTAAGTGGCCTCCAATCACTCCAAACACAAAACAGAAAAATAGAAAAATACAAATACAGCCAATATCTCCTATCCCAAGAGGAAACAGAGAAGAAATAAATATGATAACCCATACTCAAACCAAAGACAGCTACATGCAGCAAACCCTTTAGCAGAACAGAAATGAGGACAACAGATAACAACCAGTAATACAATAGATAAAAATGAAGCAGAAGAACTCCAGCAGGCCATCTTGCCACTGAACCATAATTGGACCTAGCAAAAACAACGCCCTCTGGCAGCTACTTCTGACCACTCCAAGCCATATTAAAATCAGACCATTCCCTCATAGCAGCTTTAACCACTTCAAATTCAGGCATAAAAGAATTTTGAAATTTTCAAAGGTTTCTTGATTTCCATAGCCACCATAGAATGTAGGTGGTGAGTTGAATCCTATCCTGAGAGATTGTAGACTTATCAAGAGAACAAACCATCCACCACCATCTTCTAAAGTTGCTACAGTCCCCTTCAATTCCTTCCCATGAAACAGGTGACAATTTCCAGACTCTTTGGGCTCGAGAACACTGAAAAAATATATGCTCTGTGCTTTCTGCAGTGGTTGAGAAATTTAAAAAATAAAAATAAAAATAAAATATGTAGCTAATTTGGATAATTACAAAAGTTACAGTTGACAACTTGAGATTTAAGTTTGATCTTAGTAATCTGATTTGTCGCTTTGTTTGTAATTGTTGGCTGATCAAGTTGGATTTGTCTCTCCTGAAAAAAGGAATATATTGATTCTATTACATTTTGATGTTTACATATTATAGTTGCACCGTTTCAACTTTTCAATTAAATACGAGTCACCAAAAAAAAATGAAACACTATTGATCCTCCTAAAAAAACCCTTTCAATTAAATAATAAATACAAAAAAAATTTTTACGTGAAAACTAACATTTTTTTTATAGGCAAATTGATACTACGTGAATAAAAATATATTTCTTCACTATCAAATATTATGTTTGTATTTATATATTTTTTTAATAAAGTATGTATATTCATAAATTAAAAAAAATCATTTTTCGTGTAGATCTACCTAACAAAAAGTCTACAATGATAAAAAAGAGCATGTTTCTATTTTGTAACAACATTCGTAACTTATGAGAAGTTGAAAATTAGGGGTGGCCAGTCCACGGCCTGCCGGAACCACGGGTCGCAACTTCATGGCCCTTGACCTGCCCGTATTTTCTAAGGGTCGCAGGTTTGGACCGGTCCTGAACCGTCGGGTCACGGACCTGTCGGTTTTTGGCCGGTGCGGTCCGCTAAAAAATACACTCTCACCCATCTGTCAACCCCCGACCCGTCCCGACCCAGCCCGTCGGGACAAAAAAAAAATAATGAACCTTAACCGAACCGCGATCCTACGGGTCTGGTTCAACGAACCGGTCCTTAGGAAGCCGGTTCAGGGCCGGGCCGCCGACTATTGAAAATAATAGACACCTTGATTTAGTGGATTGCAAATGTAAAAGGAATGTAAAGTTTCATATGTAACCTATTCCAATTTCCTATCATGATGGTCTTTTTTGAGTAAAATAAGGCGAAAATCCATGAAAAGTTGTAAATTATCCTCTGTATATGCTAGAGCTTGATGCTATAGCCTTTATCAATCTTATAATTAAGAAATGTTTGTCCAAAATAATAATAATAATAATAATAATAAGCCTTTATCAATCTTATAATTAAGAAATGTTTGTCCAAAATAATAATAATAATAATAATAATAATAATAATTGTCAACACATTTTTTTCTCTTTCCTTTTATTATTTTGAGTTTTGTAGGACTTTTTCTATAGTGACTTCTAGAGTCGGTCAAGGTCCAATTAGCAAGATACAGATTCAGTTTTCATACGGAAGAAAATATCTTTTATATATACAGGGTTTTGAGATTAAGTATTCGTCTCAATGCTTACACTAATCCTCTCTATATATAACTAGTATGTAGTCCGTGAGATGCACGGGACATAGATAGTAAATAAGTTATTTTTACAAGCTTTGAGCATTTAAGTCTAAAAAAAGACATGGAGCATTTCAGTGCCATGTTTATACTGAATTTTTGAAAGTTTAATGTGCTTAAGTTTCAGCCTAAAGGACTACATTGGCATGCCTTAAGAGTAGTATACACATGATGCATGTTTGATTTTCTAACCAAGATTCTGCATTTATTTTTGTTAACTGCCTTGCATAATTACAATTAAATTATCAAAATTCACGTCATTTACATATATATTCAATTATATTTAATTAATTCACACCAGCATTATCAGTTCACCACATATCCATAAAATACATAAATAAACAAATATAAAAAAATGAGAGAGAGAGCTCTGCAAAGATCACGATATTTTCAAGACCTCATCTTCTCAACAAAATGCGAAAACGGGGATTGAAACAAAAGAACAACAACTCAAGAGAGGCGCTAAAAAGAATTTGCAGTCACCGTATTATTCAAGAAGAAGCTTGTAGTTAACCAAACAATAACCAGCACCTGACAGACTTTGAAACTCTTAAACTCAAATCTTTCCTCTTGCTTTCTGAAGAAACTCGACTGCTTCCTGCATTTTCCGAGAGCACCAATGCCCATGTCCCGTTTAGTTTGTCCAGGCATCCTTCGAGCCTGGCCGCGAACCGCCTTGTGTAGCCACTCTGGCCGGAGTTCTGGTCGCTTAGTCTTCCAATCTTCGTAGGCCCTTGACCGACGCCAGCTTTTGAAGGATCGTCCTTTTCTCCACACTCACCGATCTATATATCGGATAGGAAAATAATTGTAGTGAAAGAAGTAGTGAATAGATGAAAAATAAATATGTACCAGAAGAATAATGAGGGTAGAGACATATAATAGATCAATATATATAAGAAAAATCTGAGTAGTAAAATCAGAAAAATCTTTAGAATCTGGTTGTTGAGGAAAATCCGGTTAATAACAATACTAAATCAAATTATTTAGGTAATGCAATATATTATTTCAAGTAAAACCCCGACTTAATCTCAACCAGATATTTATTTCTAGACACAGATGTTGAGATATTTTTTGCAAAAGGAATCTCAATTTTAAGGTGACCATCTATTTTCAAAATACTACCCGTTTTTCTCTAAAAAACATGATATGAAATTGATCTTCCGTTTTTTTCTAAAAATATTGATATTAAATTGATTTGAATATGAGCCATCAAAGCTCACGTTTGTAAATCAAAATCACATGTATTATTAAAAATATTTTGAACTAATCATAATCCGAGAATTCGTTAAAATTATGAAATCTGTGAACAAAAAAAGATCCCACAAAATCTGCTATCATTTGTTAACAGCATTACGTGATTTATTTATTTTTATTAAAATCACATGAATGTGTGGGGCCCTTTGATTATTACTTAAATTAGTAAGTTAAAACATTATTTTTTAAGTCAACCTTACTATTTTTGTATTTTTCCAACAACTTCTTTATATTACTATAGATGTACTTTATTAACTATTAACTAAATAAATGACGTTTTAGATATTTTGTACATATGTTCTATTATTACATTCATTTAGCTAATAAATACCTTATGTTTTTCATATCTATTCTTAATTTTTAAGTTATTAATTTTTATTAAAGAAGATTATTATTGTAAAAAAAATAATTTTTTTTTAATTATTATGCAACTTATTAATGACAGTCCATTTTATCCCTATGATATCGCTTGTGGATAAATTTACAGCCAAATAGAAGCTTCTGGCGTTAGGCTTCCCTTTTGGCTGCGTATAATACCATTGCGACCCCCTTTCAAAAGCAGGGGACGACACATTTTCACACACTGTAACGTGCTTTTTCTCTCCCACGCGACGCACCCGCGCGTTGATCCCACTCTCGCCAACCCTTCAACCGACCCCCATTTTTGGTACCCCTTTTTTTGTATCATTGCACGTTTCCAAATTTTGGGCTTTGGCTCCCCGTCACGAGAAAAAGTAGAAAAGCGCTTCAGCTGATTGAGTTTCTACATAGAGACGATGAATAATAATACATCCTTTGATATGCATACGACTGTATGTATGTATTGTTGGTGAAGAGCCAACCCCTTAATTTATTGACTTTTGCTGTGTTTGGCGAGTTATTTCTGCTCTTTTTGTTGGTAAGCTGGTTGATTTTCATGTCCATTCGTTCAATTTGGTTGTGGGATGTGTTGGGTGGGTGTGTCTGTTTTTCTCATCATTTTTATTGGTTGAATTTTCCTTGTCTTCGCTGAAATTTTACGACTGTTCTGCTACCAGGAGAGATGTATCGATGAAGGGTTTTTGTTGTTGTGATGCCTTTTATTAAATAACTTGAATGGCGTAGTTTTTTTTTTTTAATTTTCTTGTCCGTTACATGTAATATCCGTTCGTGAATCCCTGGTTTTATGCTAATGATTGTGTGGATTTCTTTTCCAATATTGTTTGTTGTCGTTAAAAGTTTTCCCCTTTTCCGTGTTATCTCAGTTATGGCACCAAGATGACAAATGGGTCTGTTTGGTACTCAAGGGGCTTAATTCTATTGTCTTTTTTAGAAAATGTGTAATATAAACACGATCCTTTCTCCATTGATCTACCTTCCTCCACCCTAACCCCTTCCGTCCTTTTAAAGTTAAGGGATTAATACAACCCAGCCTATCTTCTGTCTAGTGATTACGCAGTGGTGGGAACATAGACACATTGGGTTGTGAATTCTAAGTACTTAGAAGCTTGGCCGCCAGTAGCTAACTTTGGACCTTCATCCTTCGTTGATTCCCTCAAGACCTTTTCTTCATAAAAGCAGAGTTTTAATCCGTGTTTTTTTATAATGTATGATTATCTTTAATCCATAATGTTATATTGTTGGATATTTCTCGTGTTACTGATTCGTCGGAACATCTGGTTTTTTTAATTTGGCAAGGTGAAGATGCTTTTGGTCATGTGTTGTAGTGAGGCCTAAGGTACTAGGCACAACTGTAGTAGGGAGTTCCTTCCCTCAAATGGGCTGCTTTCATTCCACTTCAAGAAAGCAGTTTTCCAGACATGAAGATCCTGTTCTTCTCGCATCTCAAACAGCTTGTAAGTTGATTCCTTATTTCGGTTCATGTAGATCAGTCGAATCTGTAGATCTAAATGTGTTTCTTCCAAGTTTTTGTGTTGTCTAACTATATTTTGTTCATTGAAGAGCTGTCATTGGTATTATGGTGAGAGTTCATAAAAAATCTGTTAGTACAATAATGTTAGGCCATATACTAATATTTACTAGACAGTCAAGTAACATATGACTTATTAGACATGTGCAAGGAAGCTAGGTCCTCTAGCTTTATTAGGCTGGTATCCATCTAATATATTTTGTCGTGGATATCTGATTTACGTTTTACATATTTTGTTTCATTTTCATTCATCGATTGCTTGCTCTTATACAAGCCAGTCAATTAGCATGACTATTACCTGAGTTGTTTGATGTTCTTTTTAATGCTGTCAATTATACGGGCCAGTTAACTGATATTGCTATATTTTTTAATGCTCTCATCTTTGAACTACTGATGCATTTTGGACTCACTGGTTATTGGTTGGTCTTTTTTCTTTCATTGCCACTGCATGACATTAAAGTATTTTCAAGCATTTCATCATCTATTCTTAGAATAATATTTAGATTGTAGCCACAGTACATAGTTGGGTCGTGCATTCTCAATTATCTTCTGGGTTTGCATTGCTGGAGTTTATATATTTATTAAATGCTTTATTTTCTTTAATCAAACTTCAATCATTTATGTCTCTTTTTCTTTTGCAGTTAGTGTGAGTGAGGTTGAAGCATTGTTTGAACTATTTAAGAGCATCAGTAGTTCTGTCATTGATGATGGCCTTATTAATAAGGTAATGAAGAGACCTAAGTTCTGCGTGTGTCTTTTTTCGGATTGCATTAATATTTTGTTGTTGAATACCTTGTGTATGTCTCATTTTTTCTGACTGCATTAAAGAACCGATACTTCTTAGTTAAACATCTTACTGATAAAACCATGGAGTTAGATACTTCGAACTTGTGGAAACAATATTTTCTCACTATTATTTTCACCATTATTTTCTCTTTCATTTTGTGTTGTACTTCCATTTTCCATTGAGGATTAGTTGTACGTTACCTCTTGTCCTGATACCTGAATAAATATTCAACTGTGTTATCAAATGGCGGCCATGGCGGGATTTTAGCCTGCCGCCATTCACCGCCATTCGCCATTAATAACATTGATGTTCAACGAAGTCTTGTTTTCCACTAACATAGTCGCTGCCGCGGGTCAAAAACCGGAGGCTCAAGGGAGGCGGAAACTGAGAACCTTAATTGCGGATTCAAAACTATATTTGAGTTGTCAACTACCTAACCTACATAACATGTTTACAATGAGGTGAAATTTGGAGGACAACCATACCAAAACAAAAAATTAGGAAAGAAAAGGCTCGGGCTTAATTTGTTGTCATATAACTTTTATTGTGTGTCATATAACTCTCTGTGTGTACAATGTCTGAATATGCAGGAGGAACTTCAATTGGCGTTGTTTAAGAACCGGAAAAAAGAGAATCTTTTCGCAAACAGGGTGGGTAACCAAGTCTTCGAATTTTTATGATATTTGAATATTATTTTGCTGTAACATATGGAAAACGAAAATCTAAAAAGCTTACCACTATAGGCTCTGAAGGCACCCATCTAATAGAAAGTCTGACTGTCTGAGGGACATAAAGAGCTTGGGTTGCTTATGTTTTTCTGGATTGGGTAAATTTGAAGTAGGGGAGATTCTCCCGATGATATTACTGTTAGCTTTTTTTTTTTTAATCATTTCCATTGAGTAGTGACATTTTAGTAGGAACACTACCATGAGATCCCTTCTGCCAGAAGGATTTAGAATTTGTTATGCTCCTTCAACTAGCAGTGGACTTGATTGCTTTCTCTGGAGTCATAATTAGACTAGCAAATAAATGAATAATGAAGTTACAAGGTTTATAGCAAATCAGTACCTAGTTGATATGCTTGGGGTTTTAGCAATTGCACTGCCCCATAAATCGGTAAATCATCCAGATAGACCTGATTTACTCATTTCTTCTCCTTTCTTTATCTTGCTCCATCATAAATTATTGGAATTTGCTATTCAATAGATTACCTCTCTCTCTCTCTCTTATTTAGTTCATGCTTTCTCAATCTAATATGGCCAGTTGTATGGCAGATCTTTGATCTTTTTGACGTAAAGCAAAAGGGGGTAATTGATTTTGGCGATTTTGTTCGATCCCTCAGTGTTTTCCATCCAAATGCCCCACAAGAGGACAAAATTAATTGTGAGTTAACATGATTATGTATTATGGTTTTTATGTATTTCTTTTCCTCGATTTATTTCAGAACTTACTGGTCTCCTAACTCTTGATGATTGTGACCTTGAAGTTTCTTTTAAGCTATATGATTTGGATGGAACCGGATATATTGAGCGGCATGAGGTAATTGATCAATAATGTCTTGTAGATTCTTTACTTGTATGTGAAATCAATTTTATTGATGTCTCTGTATTTGTCATATATTGGTATTTATCTTATTCATACTTGTTAAATCCAGGAGAAATTTGAAGAACTTTCTTTTTAGTCCTTTTGTTATTAATTCAATTTCACATGTTGAAAAATACATGCAGAAGAAAGTGCATAAATTCATACCTATATTTCCTTGAAATGAGTGGCAGGTCTTAATGACCTCTGATTTTCACAGGTTAAGCAAATGTTGATTGCACTTCTATGCGAGTCTGAGATGAAGCTGGCTGATGAAACAATTGAGATAATATTGGATAAGGTATATTATTTTTTAATAAACTAACTTTCTCGTGTGATCAGTGTTTTAATATTGTGTGGTAGGGACATATATTATATGGAGTTTGTTTCTTTTGCAAAGTTTGGCCAAATATATTATATGATTTATTTGCTTTATGTATGCGCTCAAATAGA